GTGTTTTACAGTGGTTATTTAGCAATGTAATTTTTTCCCTTAGTATTAATATTAATTTGAAGTAAGTTAAAGGATTTCAGTTAACCAAATAATTTGGAAGTAAGTTAAAGGATTTCAGTTAACCAAAATTATTTCACGCCTAATTTATATAAACAAATCCCACGTCGATATATAACATGTACAACAATCAAACATTCAACCCACGCCAAACTGGATGTAATTGAAAGACATCTAGAGGTCAATATACAGTCTCAAACAAAAGACAAAATGAGGAAAAATATAGCGAATTTTTGAGAATTATTATTGCATGTATATTTGCAATATTTAAAATGCATAGTTTAAAATCTTTTGAGTTTTAGGTTCCACCTACCATTTTAGAAAACTGGGATTTCATTGCAGCTAGTCTATTAGATAACATTTTATAGTTTTGAATGTTTCTTCATCAGTTAACTAAAATTAGGTGGAGGTATGTTCTTATTTCTGACAGAGGGTTACTCAACCTATATCAATTTGTGCATGAAGCGATTGATAGTTGCTAGATACTGAATAATTTTACCACAAATTTGTGAAAGTTTTAACCGGTGTATATACTTAAAATATGTTAATAAAGTTCATGTCTTTTTCAGGACTTCTGATCCAACCATGTAGTATGGCATGTTTGTGAGATATGGTTTTGGCCAGTAGGATGTTCATGAAGGACCTGTAGTACAAAGTATATCACTGGATTGAGCTCATTGTCTAAGTGTATTATTAAAGTGCTTTGCTTTGAGCTCAGTTCATTGTTATGCAATTCATTCTTTGTGAAATAAAGATTTGACAGACAACTCTCATGTACAAGGAATTGTCAAAGTAGTATCCATTCTATGAACAATGTAAGTAATAGGGAGATAAAAGCATTTTATTTAGATTTGAACCAAACATTTTTTGTCCATTAGCCAAACTAAAAAAAAGAAGCACAAATTCACCAAACAATGCTACTGGCGCTACTAGCAATATGATGCTAGGTTCTTTTGTTACACTTTATTATGCCCCAGTCGTATTGGAGGGGGCATTAAGTGTTACCCTTGTCCGTCTGGACGTACGTACGTCCCAAAATTGGTTTCCGTTCTCTAACTTTAGTTTGCCTCAACCAAATGTTATGAAACTTATACACAATGCTTATTACCACAAAACACAGATCAAGTTTGAATTTTGGTGGCATCACTTTAACCATTCTAGAGTTATGCTCCTTAAGAAATGGAAAAATTTCAAAATTTTTATTTTCTTCGAAATATCAAGTAATTTTTTAATTGGAGTTATCTTCCTTTGTCCATGATTATAGTTGAATCAGCTACAATCAATGCTTTATACAATGCAATGTTTAATTTTGACTTCCACTGATAAAACACAAATCAAGTTGAATTTGGGTAGTGTCACTTTAATCATTATTGAGTTATGCCCCTTTATAAATTGAAAGATTGCAAAATTTTTAGTTTCCATTCTGTAACTTAAGTTTGCCCCAACCAAACATTATGAAACCTATACACAATATTCATTACCACAAAACTAAGATCAAGTACAAATTTTTTGTTTCCGTTTTCTAACTTTAGTTTGCCTCAACCAAATGTTATGAAACTTATACACAATGCTTATTACTACATAATACAGATTAAGTACGAAATTTGGTGGCAACACTTTTACCATTCTTGAGTTATGTCCCTTTATAAACACAAAAATTGCTGAATTTTTCGTTTCCATTCTCTAACTTCCAAATGTTATAAAACTTATACACAACCGTTCTAGAGTTATAATTATTTATTGCGTGTTTACAAATAGAAATTGCTGAATTTTTAGTTTCTGTTCTCTACTTAAGTTAGCCTCAACCAAATGTTATGAGACTTGCACACAATGCTTATTACCACAAAACTAGGATCAAGTTCAAATTTGGGTAGCTTCACTTTTACCACTTCAGTTATGTTCCTTTATAACTATATGATGTGCAAGTGGGGGCATCATCTGTGTCCACATGTGGACACTATCCACATTTTTTTTTTTTTACATCTGTACTGCCTACTGGTGACTCAGTTCTGAGTGTAAATGGTCATTCAGTATGTTAAGAAAAAGATCAGAATTTATAAGGCCTATCTGGCCTAATTGATTTCTAAAATATATTTCATTGTACATGTTCAACATTTATCATTCATTTGTTTATTTCTTAATTTGTGTGAATTAACAGTAAATGTTAGTTACTACACTTTCATACCATAACAAAACTGCCTTACTGTATTAGTATCACTTATATTTGTATCCATATAACAAAAAAACTGAAAAGAGAATACTTTTGCAATAGCTTTTTCATATTGAATACTAAAACTTTTTAGATATTTAGACATATTAAGTAGATGTTCATAATATCCACTTGACATTTTATCATATGACTTCTGTAGTTAGTTATGAGTCTTTGAAGCATGCTCACAAAGGTTCTTTTGTTGATATCATTTTCATACTGGTCAAAACTTTTTTTTTGCTTTGACCAGCTTTGGAGGAGATATTTTCAAAGAATTAATAAAAAATAACACAGAAATTCACTTTCTAGCTCATCTAGCCCAAATCATCATGTCAGGCATTGTCATTACTAAAAAACATTAAATGTCTTCTAAACTGAGAAACAATTTCCACATTTAACTGAAATCTTTTACTTATGATACTGACAACCTCACAAAGTAATATAAATAGAACCATACAAAAAGTAAGCAAATACATATTCTCAGATACCATCTCCCATATAAAAAAAAATCACATTAAGAAAAAAATGAACCTATTATGTGTTCCTCTCCTAGCTACAAAATGTATCCAAAATCAAAGATGTGGAACATATATATTCTATCATAATCATTTGGTAATTAATGCAATTAGTATCTGTTGAACATAAAAAACTAAATATTACATAAACAACACCCCTAATGCTCATGTTGGTTGTCATTGTACAACACAGTTAATACATAGAAAACATAAAACATAGAACTCCTTTTGTCATATAAAACACTGTCAAACATCCAATCATACTGTCCACACTGATCTGTGTCCACACTTGTTTGAATAAAAAAATAAAACGGTTCGGGATAGATGGAAGTTTTTGAAATACTAAGGCTTATATACCTCAGGAATAGATTACCTTAGCTGCATTTGGCAAAACTTTTCGGAGTATTTGGTCCTCAATGCTCTTCAACTTCGTACTTTATTTGGCCTTTTAAACTTTTTTTGATTCGAGCGTCACCGATGAGTCTTTTGTAGACGAACCGCATGTCGCTCTCAAATACAAAATTTCAATCCTGGTACCTATGATGAGTTTATTTACATTGCAACATCGTCCTTAATATCTTTGTAATATTTGCCACTGAAAATTGTAAACTTACTTTACCACAACACCAGTTTTATAATAAATCAAAGAAAATCTGAACGTTATGCACTTTACAAAGCACAGTTATATCTGCTTGTACGCTATAATTACAGGCAAACTATGGAGGTGCAAACACTTTATATACTGACATGTAGCATCCAATTATCAATTGGAAGGCTGCAAGTCTAACGAAGAAGTTTGATTATCGAAATTTTACGATTATTTTTCATCACATTGTAATTATTTTATACAATTACACACCAAACAGTGTAACATCTTTAAAAAAATATTTTTTTCTTTTTATCCAAAAACAACATTCCTAACATAATTTTACAAAATCAATACTTTTACCATTTGTCACTTCTAGAATTAATATAAAACAATTTATTACAATAAATGTCAATTTCTAACCTTTTATGCCTTGAAAGATATTTTCGATCGGTTATTTCCATCTTAATGAAATCAGATTTTGCTTTTATCGATATGCCAATGAACCTAAATGAAATAGAGTCTTGTCAATGAACGAGAAGACATATATGATTGACACTTAGTTATTGAGAAGCCCACGTGTTAACAGGATTTCCATACATTGTGGTATAAGAAGAGAAACGCTTCATAAAAATCAATTCTGACGTGATTGTTAAGGTGGCAAGGAACAAAGTCAATTAAGGTACGAAGCTACATTAACTTACAAAGATAGACGGAAACAAACATGATTGACTCGTCTGAATTTGATGAGCTTTTCCAAGAATCAGTATCTCCAGTAAAACCATGTTTGCAAAGGTCGAGATTAAAATCAAGATCTGAACCTAATTCACCAGCAGGTTCATTCAAAAGGAAGTTAAAAGTGAAACAACTAATAGACGAGGAAAATAGAAGAAACAGTTTACCGGTTCCTATAATTTCAAATCTATCCAGTTCATGTGATGATATCTTAAATGAGAAAAGAAGACCTATACGACGATTTCGGTCCTCAAAATTAATATCGGGAGGAATTACAGGGATTGAAGACAAACGAGACAGCTATGCAAGCTTAGACATTCCCAAAGACCTTGAAAGAAGAAGACTTTCAAGTGAAACCTCAGAAGACAGTGCTATTTGCTGTGGTTGTTCTTCGACTTGTTTACCAGGATACTATCGTGTGTGTGTCATCGGCGCTGACTCTGTAGGAAAAAGAACATTGATAAATAAATTTATGTGCTCAGATGTTATGACTACAGATGGTAAGCAATGATTATTTCTATCTTCAAATCGTAAAGAAATAAAAAGACACCGAGTGATATGATTTTTTTACAAGGTACTTCTGTCATTAACTTTATCACGAACAACCGAAATCAAAATCTTCGAGAGTAAAAAAAAACCACATTAAAATCACTATTGATATCTTAAACGAAATCGTTAATTCAACTAATAAATGGTTAGTTTAGCTGTAATATGTATACAAGAAGTATGATGCCCTTAAAAATGTTCTTAGTCAATCTTGATGTTATTTGTCGATCTATTTATAATAATTAATGTGTATTTAAATAAAACAAACATTGTGTTTATTTTTACATGTTTTATTATATATTACGTTGTATCTGAAGTCATCAATTATTAGCATTTCAAACAATTTGTTACAGGAGACGACGATGACCGATTTGTAACTGTAGTAATAGACAACGAAGAATCAACTCTGGAATTTGTGAATTTTTCAGAAGACGAGGTACGACATTTGTAATTTAATTAAGTTCAGTGAAGTATCCCGTAATAGAATACTATATCTTTATCTCCAAATCTCGCATACATTTATATATGTATCCACAGCATCTGTGGATCTCTTTATTTCATCAAACGTAATGAAACAATTTCATTTTACAACTTATATGAGTGAAAAACTTCTTTCAGTAAAACTAAACCTCTAGATATCTGGTTGTCGAAACCATGTACTTAAATGTTTGGTATATGACTGCCCGACCCTGTAGTCTTGGGCCACCTTGTTAACTAAAAATAAAATGATTAAAAGCGCAAATTTTTCCACCAAATTTGTATACTTTGATTTTACAGAAGGTTGACCTTCACCAACTATTCCATAAAAGTATTGAACAGAATACAAATAATAGATCTTTTTCACAATGTTTAAGAAAGGAGATTATTATATCTTATCGATAAGGGTAATGCTCAATCTTTATTTAAGAAGAAAGTTACCTATCGTTTAACATGTTTTGTATCGTTTATTAACAGGATCAAAGGTACCCAGTTGATGCATACATTGTTGTATTTTCCGTTTATGAAAAGTCCAGTTACGACATAGCCTGTAGGTTCCTACAATGTATTCGCAACGACCAGTTTAGTGACAGACCAATTATCTTGGTAGCTAATAAAGTAGATCTTGTGAGAAAAAGACAAATAACCAAAGACGGTATGGACTTGCATTTAATATTATCACTCATTCAAATTACACGAAGACTATCTTTTGTTTTACCAGAGAGCTTGCTTAAAAAGTTATGTATACATTAAATTAAGTGATTCTCTCAACACAAGATTAATCAGAACAAAAGCTTAATATATTAAATAAAAGTAAATGGGGAAATAAAGACATTTTCCGTTGTAGGTCTCTGAACTAGATACTTTAAGTGATACTAGAAAAAAACTATAATTAAATGACTTAAAGGGAAAAAGTCACAAAAGTGTATTATTGCATTTTTTTTATCATAATATACAGTAAAAATAAAATTTAAATAAAAAAAATATCTTTTAAAAGTAACTATGTTACTTTTATTTCAGAGGCCAGAAATCTAGCATCGAAGTTCAATTGTAAATACATAGAGACATCAGCTACTTTGAATATAAAAGTGGACAAACTTCTTCTTGGAATTTTGAAACAGATAAAAATTAAACTACAACCGGAGGTTACGGAAAGTTATGAATTATCGACGAAAGGGGCGATAAAGAGAGGATCTATTGGACTACTTAGCAGATTATTCCATCTTAAACCCAAGGTCAAGGTCAATAGTGATGACGTATTTGCGTTATGATGTGGATCAAATGTGATTATGCATAGTTGTGATGTGATGACGTGTTATCTGGAGAGACAGTGTGTTACAAGAGCACACAATGATATATCGATTTCAGTAAAGATGTTTTATCGAATTGCTTTTCATTCAATAGGAGAGAGTAAAACCGTTGTACGTTAATACACACGAAATAAGAATAAACAACAAGCGTAAATACATGTACAATGTACATTTTGATTTATATGTTTTTACTTTTATTCTGAGTTTTGTTTTACAGAGTAAACATGTTTTTTTGTGTGTCTTTGTCTTGTCTCATGACTTTCAAACCCCAAAACATATAGATACACAGGTTGATTGAATGCCTTTTGCAAGATATTATATATTATTTTGCTTTTAAAAAAAAATAAATGCTGTTAATATAAATTAAAAAGGGCAAGACTTCCTCTGGAACCCTCTTTCATGCATTTATATGCTTATTTCGTCAATAAGAGGGGTTCAGAAGGAAGTATTTCCATAAAAGTATATACCTCTTGTACTCTACTAGTATGAAGTACTGACTGTTATTGGTTAATCTATTTTTGAATATGTAGTTCAAATGAAAACAATGATATTATAAATAACACTAAAAGTAATTATGTGTCAGATGCAGCATATATATTGGAGATATAATTATCCGCCAGATGTTCTAGACAGATATTATCAAAGAGTTCAGATAGTGAAAATATGATATTAGCTACCTAAATTAAATTGTAATAACACAAAATATATATACATGTTACTTAAGAAGTGGCGTTATAATATTTACAATACTTTAAAAGTGACGTTAGGCAATAAGTTAGGCCTCGCATACGAACAAGTACATTGATCTTGTATTTGTCGTACAAAACAGAAGGAATACTGCATTGAATCAATTGTTTAAAGGATAAACATGGCAGTTTTATTTTTCTGATTTAAAGGGTTGTTTTCTCATTGATGTATACCCTATCCTTTATCTTTATTTATTGTTAAACATTTTGTTAACCTTAGGTATCAAGCATTTCTAATAAGGGGTAAATGTTACTAACAATTGATTAATTGATTGCAGTGTGCGTTTAAGGTCTAGTGGCAAATATTTCATATATATTGAGGATGAGTAAATGTCAAAGAGAGAATGATTCTAAAATTAGCACTTAGAGGAAATTACGTAATCTCCAACATTGAGCATCTTTTCTTCGTGTGTGAGAACAGTGATTTCAACAATGTCAGTTTTTCAACTGTGTTTCAATCAGAATATATAGCGAAACATAGAGATAAAGTGCCTTTATAAAAATAGCAATATTTGACAAAAAAGAAAAACTTAACTTTTATCTCAGATTGTTATATTTTATGATTTATTTGAATTTATATTTAAATTAAAATTATTAGATTAAATATTTAAATTTTTTGAATTTATTTAACCGAAATATTTTATAATTGGTTGTTATACAATCATCGTGTGTATAAATTTTTTTTCAGCATTTTTACCATTATTTTGTATTATTTGATACTTGATGATGAAAGTGAAACATTTTATAATATAACATTATAATAAACTTATCAAACATGTCTTATCTATTATATTTTCATTTACAAAGAAAGTCTTTGGATCAGAAAGAAAATAACGTAACTTTTCAAGAAGGAAGCCATGTATTTATATGATTTAAGAAATTATCTAGCTCTCCTAATATCTTATCGTTAGACTTCCAGATGGGGGTAAATACAACATGAACATAGTCACGTTCTAGTTTGATTAAAATATTTTCATAAAAACTTTACAGTTCTTTATTATATAAATAACACATAGCTGAGAGGGTGATAGAGCAGATTGTTATCCCGATAAAACATTGTTGACCGCGGCGAATCCAAGGTTGAAAATGTCTTTTCGAGGGGTAACAATCTGCTCTATCACCCTTTCAGCTATGTGTTATTTACTTTATTATACTGAATGTTCTGTTATTACTGTCTGTTAAATTTCAAATTCAAAGTAATAAACTATGACGTCTTGTACTTAACAATTATCCCTATTTAGTAAAGCGCACGTTCACCCAACATAATTCTTTAGACCTCCCGATCATGGTAAATACATAAAAACAAGAAAACCTGTTCGTATTAGTTTCATTTAACAATATGAAAACAAGGCGATGTGGTATGATTGCCAATGACTAAACTATCCACCAGAGTTCAAAAATGAAGTGGATATATATATAAGCTATTCAAAAGCCTTCAACAAGGAATAAAACCCAATACCGTATAGTACGTAGGTAATTAATGGCCCTGACATGAAAAATGTGAAACAATTCGAACGAGAAAACTAACGGCCTAATTTATAACAAAACAATTTACGGAAAAACAAAAATATCAGACATGAACCAACGACAACCACTGAACTACAGGCTCCTGACTCGGGACAGGCATACAAAGAATGTGGCGGGGTTAAACATGTTTGTGAGCGCTCAACCCTCCCCTAACTTTGGAAAGTGGTGTTACAAAAGAACAAACTGTAAAAAAATAAGTTGCAATTGGCTTTACTCAAAAGAACAGTACGAGACACAAAACAGAAAACATAAAAACAGTAGACACAAAGCACCGAAATAAAAGTACTCGCAGTTACTGAAAGCTAGTCCAAAGCCAATAACAACTAATAAATAAATCATGTTCTCCCAGATTAAAGTATTAATCAGTACACATCCAAAGAATTTAGTGTTAAGACGTCATCAAAAATGTTAAATCTAGAAATTGGTAATGGGAACAAAACTTTACTACAAAAGAGATGATGTTTGCTTCCCAATTGTAAACTTTCCCTTTCTATGTAGCAACATTCCAGTAGCGTCTGCATATAGAGTATTATATATCTTCCAGCTGATACGATATTCCAGATGGTGACGTTGAAACCATCTTTTCGAACATTTTACGGACGCAATTACGAGTTGGTTGACCGTTATTAAATATCTATTTCACAGATGACGATTGATATTTTCCAATTGTCGTAACCACAATCCCGTCATATTTTCCTCGAATGTGACATACCGAATTAGACTTATCACGGGTTTGTACTTATACGAGCAACACGACGGATGCCACATATGGAACAGGATGTGCTGATCCTTCCGGAGCACATGAGGTCACCCCCGGTTTTTGATTGAGTTTGTGTTGCTCAGTCTTTAGTTTTCCATGTTGTGTTTTGTATAATGTTGTTTGTTTTTTTGCAATGGCATTGTCAGTTTATTTTCGACCTATGAATGTCCATTCTGTATCTTTCGATTTACAATTCTCTATAAATAATTGATATTTCCTTGTTCTAAAATGTCCTTGTTTTGTGAATAAAATTAACGAAGGCGTTGGCTAAACGCCAATGCAATAGTAATGTGAAACCCCATTTAACTAAAATAGACATTTATATACAAATAAGATGTGTTATGATTGACAATGAAACAATTTTCCACTAGAGACCAATGACTTAGAAAGTAGCACCTATACGTCATCATTTGGGCTTCAACAATGAGCAAAACTCATACTTCATAACCCTATAGAACTTTCAAGCTCCGACATGACAAATGTAAAACAATTCAAACGGGTAAAACTAATGGCCTGATTTATGCACACAACAATAAAAAGAAAGACAAATATAATACACACCAACAAACGACCACACCTAAATAACAGGCTCCTGACAGGACAATAGTGAATTAGGCGGGGTTAAAAATATTTTCGGGCGCCCAACCCCCACCGTATTATTGGACAGTGTTATAACAGCACAACATAAGTGCAAACTAAAAAAATAAGTTGAAAAAGGATTGCCTCATCAGATAAACAAAAGGTACTGATCTGAGAGTACTCGCAGTTTCTGAAAGCGAGTTCAAAGTAAATAAAAACTTACACTGAAACATCAAGCAGTACACACACAATACATCATTTGAATAAAGTGTAAAGGCGTCATAAACATGATAAACAGTCAAAGAATAACATGATATTGTGCAATACCAAAATATGAGTATATAATGTAGAATCGTAAATGTCAATATTTGTATAGTTATCATATATACTTCTATTTTAATTCATTGATAACTAAATCAATGTTTGTACCGAAAAAAAAACAATGTACAAAGATAGGAAAATCTTATTCATTATAGTAAAGAATAAACATTATCATATCTCCAAGAAGTGGTGTGAATGAAAGGAGATTTAAGGATATACATGTACTTCAATGAAACAGTAACCAACGACAAACAAGAATAAAAACAATATCTAGAGATCAACATGCATCAACCTTGTTTTTGCAACTCTGCCTTAACAAGTACATGTATTATATCAAAGGATAACATTAATCACAACATATACTGGACAGGACAACAGTCAACCTCAAACTGCCATCTCCTCTGAAAGATCTTGATTTCAACAATATATTTTGAGAATATTTCACCTCACATATCAAATGTTTTATATGACAGGTTCGTAGCAACTGAATCTTGACAAATTCCATGTCATAAAGAAATTTTGCTAAGCGGTGTACTGTGCAAATTCTATGGTAGAAGGAAAATAACGCAAATATTAGTGTTTCATTATTAAAAATTTAACAATACCTGCTTTAAGGTTTGGTTTTTCATACCGGAAACGTCACATTGGCATAGATTGTAAAATGAAACTGTAAAGATTTAGGAATCTGAAGCTTCCGTTTTTCGACTTTGTATAAATATACAAATTCGTCATCTTGTCAACTTTTATTTTTCTTAAAAATTGGAAAAAAGTGGCAAAGTGAGTAAACACTCCTTTTGTATAAAGTCTTTGCTCATATCTAATTTTGCCAAAAATGTGAGTAAAATGGCAATTATATGTGAACTATGTCAATGGCAATTATATATGAACTATGTCAATGGCAATCATAT